CAATTGTCGGGGTAAATGTCCGGGGGGTAACTGGTCGCGGCGTAATGTCGCAGGGGTAACTGTCCGGGGGTAATTGTCCTGCGGGTGATTGTCCGGGGGGTATTTGTCCTAGAACCGATTTTAAGCAGGGGTCAAATTTCATGACCTTTTGACCTCTGGTGACCTACATGATTAGCATATATCAGCATATAACATATATCAGTGTGTAGGAAATACAATTTCCAACATTTTGAGTGGTCATTTGTAACAATTGTCAATTAGTTAAAATATATGAGTTTTTCATTTCCCCTAGCCTACCCCAGATTTTGGGTCCGAGTCTGACGCGATCATCCACATTCAAGAGGTCATTACTCACAGTCTACCACTAACTGTGGATGCTGGGTTGGGCTCACACGTGTTTTTTCATCTATGGATATAAGCCTATCAAAGAAACATAGTGAGAATTTGCCACCCAGGTGGTACAATCAATCCATGAAATTTGTGGGTCTGGCTCATGGACTATATATAGTGTATGGTAGTATCCCCGCCCTTTTCAAGATAGTGGACTGGAGGCACGTTGAATAGAATTATCATGGCAATTCATTAAAACTATAATTGTAGTGGTAAAACATGTCTTTCTATTAGCTTTATAGATTGCAGTAGTAATATTAATAAAATTTACCATGGATTATATATTTTAACTATTGTTACATTTTACTATGGAAACAGTCTAGCTTTCTTAGTTTTAAAGTAGGATAATATAAGCCAGATAAAAAGGTCATTCATGCGCTATGATGATTAACCAATTATCCGATTTTAATCGATTATCGATCGGTTGGTGAACCGAATAATTGATTATAAAATTCAAGCCAGTTCCATCACTAAGGTTAGAGTTAGGAATTAGCATTAGCTTTGGCGATTAAGATTATGGTTAGGTTAGAAATTAGAATTAGGTTAGTGTGTGCCTATTTCGATTATTGTTAGTAATTAGTTTATATCTGTTATGTATTTTAGGCTTTACCCCATGAATGTGCCGCTGGTCATCTTTTCCCCCATGTTTCTGACTGTCGGCAGTATACGTATGCTCATGTTTCGTGTCGTACGTATGCTTATGTTTCGTGTTGCACGTATGCTCATGTTTCGTGTCGTACGTATGCTTGTTTCGTGTCATACCTATACTTACGTTTTGTGTATGGATCTGCGATCGTATAAAGTTGCTTGAATTGTACTGCGGTACTGGTGCCAAGTGCTGTGGTTGCTCTTGCTTGCCACCATAAATTGAAAATTTGCAGTTTCGCCATGCCCAAGTTTTCGCCAGTTTTCGCCATACCCCAATGCATTCCTCTAGGCATGTTATTTTTGGTAGATTAAATTTGGATCACACAGATCCAGTGCTTGATGTTTACTTAAGTGGATCGCAAATCGGGATCATAGATTGATCCTCGTGATAAGGTGGATCAGTGATCCAATATGGGAGCACCTAATTCATCCAATCAACGCTCGTTGCTAGTTATGAATCATCTGGTGATAGGCCACAATTGCCATGTTATACCGTTATGCTTGGGCCAATAGTAATTCGAATGAATGTACACTTTCTATTTGTATAAATTACATCAAGTTGGATTGAGTGAGATGTTGTATTTTGTTTCCATCAGGTTTGTGATATTGCGACATGTGAGGCATGACCACATAGATAGACTGCCGCTGCCACAGAAGATTCAGAATTACCTGAACGACCCCCATTATTATGCTGAGTGAAGCTCGAATAAGTAAGCACGTCAGTGGAAAATCATGCATACGTCCAACAAGAGAATTACCAACCCCCAAACTCCCTAGTTATACCAGTGATGTGGTAATTCTGCCAATTAAATATGCTAGCATGAACATAAGTATGCATATATTGATGATTCAGCAGTGGTTTTTATTATGCAATTTACCAAAGCCAATGACTGGTACTAATTGGGTATGTAGAATATAGTAATTCTCTTCTTTGAAGTATACTTAGTAAATTATATAAGGGCAATCAGTATGTAGATCACGAGTAAAACCCTGGTTTTTTTGTATTCCGTAAATACCCCCTTGTGTACGCGAGTACTGCAGTGGTGCTGTTAACAGTGGTGTACAGATCGTGTGTCAAAAACCCAGTTTGCTCTGGAGACTCAGCCAGAAATCTAGTTATAAATAAAATGTATGTAGCATGTAGGTAGAGAATGTGTAGATTGAATACTCTTCGTGGCCAACGTTCTATGTATAGAACCAAATCTCTTCCAGTTGGGCTGTACAGGTACCATAGCCGCTGAACATGGAACGAGGTTTAGTTCTCGTTTTTTTTTCTATTGTGACGAACCCCAAGTTGGCGTTATAGACTAGCTTGCCAAATGGTTACTGTGGGGTGTCAGCAGTGATATTTCTGTTCCACGATCTTCCATGGGAGTGAAAGCGGTTATTATGAATCGACGAAGGGCTTTCTGACATGATAATACAAGTGTGTTAGGAACGTTGTTATTTAACCACATTCTATATCTGCCAACATAATATTGTTTAATGTTTTTAGAAGAAGAATCTAACAAATATGTAGACCACAAACCGGTATAATGGCCACGAAAGATCTTTTATGGGTGCAATGACAACGATATTAGGAGTAGATCAGCTAGAATTTTATTTGTGGATATTACGATCATTGGGTTCTATAGGCAAGACAGTGAATCTACTGAATGTTGAAAAAATGAATTGTTGAGTGTAATAAAGATATAATGTTTCGTGTTATCAAAAGCTTTGTTTGATTTGTTTGATTTTGCACACATTCGCTTTAATATAGCAGGTATGCAGTTATGCCTGCCAATGTTAGTTAAAACAAATAGCAGCATTCAGAAATGTCTGGGTCAAAGAACTTGTATCATAGAATTTCAACATTTATTGTATCATATTTATACATACGTACACATCTTCACCACAAATAATAGCCATAAAGGATGGTTGACAGTAGTACGTTTATGACGTATGAAAATGAAAGCATATACTTAGTGGAGCAGGGCTCTTCCACACTGTGCATGCAATGCCATGTGCACATGTTTAACACACCTGCACAACTTTATAAATTAACAATTTTATTTGTACATCTATCGCATGTCTCATCCCCAATTCTAATACGGGGCATACGTCTATACCAATATGATGGGCCACAGTGATTTTAATCCAATCCGATACAATAATATTCATACATAATTGAGGGAACAACTGTCATTTGTTTCATCAGCCTCGGTTCTCCTTTATACTAGTGACGGTGGACTCCTTGTTAGCCATCCCACAGCACATGGTGCCCCGCATTGACATTTCAGCTTTCCGTGAGAAATTGTCCTCTGATCAGGTGCTGAGCATAGTAGCAGCGTGTTTTGTACAGAGCAGCTGCAGTGTACCATGCCTGCGCGGGATAGATTGTGTCGTATATATACATGTTGCATCGGCACTGTTTCTCTTTCCGCAATGGTGACCATTAGTCAATAGGTCCTTCACCACCTGGCACCAACTGCAAAAAGTCAACACGTGTCACTTAACGTGCATAGATCTGAATCACAAACTATTGGGCAGAATCAATATGAATTATAAGTAGGATTAATCGTTTCTAAACTCTATGGCATGACTTGTAAATATTGCGAAGATATTGCCAGTGATGAGATCTTACCATTGTAATGTTGTTACCATTGAGCAATATTTGATCCAACTTGGTTATCTGCCGTCCTTCAGCTGTCATTTCACTGTGAAAATAGAGCACAAATCTACTTTTAAAAAAAGAATCGCAAACACTCATAGATATACTAAACATTAGTATTGTTAGTCAATAGAAGCAACTTGCAACTACTACTTAGGAAAAACATTTTATAAAATGATGATCTGCAGGGTCACAGATAATATCTATGAGATAGACAATAAATATGCTAATATTTTACCATTATTTTACTAATTACTCTTTATAAACAAGACAGAAGGGCAGTTGATTACTTTTAGCATTGCAAGCATGTTGCACATTAAATTACTCTGTCCCACATACTATCAAGAGCTTACCATGCACAAAAGTATACAAATGTAACAAAGTTAAAAGACAAATAATGATAACAGATATAGAAGGTTTAGGCTGATTGCAATTATATATATAAGGAAAGCAAACTATAATAGGAGAGATACTTTATATAAGTATAAAGGTGCACACTGTGTACTGAACAAATACTTACAATTCTGTCACATCCTCTATAACCATGTCTTGGTAAAACAGTTTAGGAAATCAATTTTGACCTGTGGCTAATGACTTGATATTATTAACGCTGAACTATATTGTTACTTATACACTATGCCAATCAAATATTATATTCAGTATTTGTATATTCAATGTAGGGGATCCAGGTATGTCTTGGTTACATAACAGTGTGTGGGGCAAATACATGAAGGATACTGACAAAGTCATCAAATCCAAGTAGCGTGCCAACTATCTCTTTATCATTCTTCATGATGATATGAATACGTGAGCCAATGCACTTGTCAACTAACTCTGAAAAATAATATAGTTTAATTGATATTAGTTTGGTCCTTCTTTCTTCTCTTCTTTGCTAGTTATTACAGTCCTATTCTTTAGTCAAAAAGGAATATATCAAATCTCTGGCTAGAACTTAAATACAAATGTATAACTCTGCAGAGACACGATCAGTTTCTGCATGGAGACATATATTTGTATCTAGCAAAAACTAGCTATGCAGTGAAGTTTTGATACAAAGTACATAGTAACTAGTTCCTGCTTGTACACATTACCATTACACTATGTCGTGACAAAGTCACATGTGATTAGGGGTGTAACGATTCACCGAGACATCAGTGAATCACGATAGAGGCCCACGATACAATAATCCGCACGCAGCGTCCGTATCACGATACAAACAATACGGATATTAAACGATGAGTAAGTCTCCAAGGCAAGCTAAAGTGTTTCATTAAGCACGTCTCATTCTTTTAAATTGAATTATTTATTTTATTTTATTAACTATCTTCCACTATCACGTAAATATCATCGGCTGTTGTAGAAATCTCGGTCGATATTTGTGGCGCACTTGTATTGCCGCCAAAATTGTTACAGCAAATCAATCAAGACTGCTGATTCACTGGGACGTGGCATTACTGCGCACATAATATTGTAGCACTGTATATGGTGCGCACGTAAGGAGAACTGTCGGTTACACTTTTACAGGTCCATCTAGAGCACACTCAGAACCAGTGAAAAAATTACACGGGGGCGGCGGGCGACATCGCCCTCCGAAATTCCCAATAGATCCCAAAAATGTGATTACGGGGGCGACAGTTAAAAAGAAAACGGTGCGAAATCGCCCCCGTAATCGCACGTCTCGAAGTCAATGCATTGCCACTGGTTACACTAGCCAGCCACAGCTGCAAGCTGCTGCAAACCCACCAAGACTGAGCTAGTGTCTCGGCTCCAGCACAGTTGCAATATAGCGATTTCCAGGAAAGAGTTTTGCTGTCGCTCTCTCATACCACTACCAGCAGTGCCCACCCCCTACATATGTAATAGTGAATATGCCCTACGCGACTGAAACAATCTGTGCACCCCCCCCCCCGGTACTTCAATCAATGCTGCCCCAGCCAGCAGCCACGATGTGCACAGCCACAGACGTGGGTTGACATGCGTCTAAACAGAGGAATTGCTCCGACTTTTGATTGGAGGATAAAAATAAAATTTGTGACGTTTCGTTTCCATTTTGGCATTTAGCCTATGACTCGAGTATGAGCGATACCGCACGTACATATTTGCTAATTAATTACGCCGTGGCTATATTTACGGAGACGTAAATACATTTATTTTTTCTGTATTTACGGAAATCCCATCATGCAAAGTGCCACGGACAAGTGCAGCCCAACATGTTTACATCCGCGCATGGGGAACTACCGGGTACCTCGAAAGTGTACTGTTTTTGTGACTAATCAACTTAGATTTACTCGTCCTGCTATATGCAAGCACACAGAAGAATGATCTTGGGCTTGTTTTAATGGACAGAAATAGGGGAATATAATGCTGAGTAAACAAAATGATGTCGTTTAATACCCGCGAAGTTAGCCGGGTATTTAATTTATACTTGAATGGCAACTTTCGTTTGATAAATTGGTCAAGATGTTGTAGAAGCTATGACTACAAAAATGTAGCCACAAGTTCCCATCTCGCTTAACACTATGTGGCGTGCGTATATTAGTCTATGAGCGATACCGCGCATTCATATTTGCTAATTAATTAGACTCATCGCACTTCAATAGACTCAAAATTCACAGAGATTAAGGCTAAGACATGTGTCTATAATTTAGCTAGAATTTATAGAAATGTAACTCAAATCGTTCACGCCATATGATAGTTAGTACACTTTCTTACCGGTCATAGCATAATAGCGTATGCGGCGGGGTATGCAAAATGAAAACGAAACGTCACGAATTCTATTTTTATCCTCCAATAACAAGTCGGAGCAATTCCTCTGTTTAGACGCATGTATCATTGTATCAGTGTGGCTGATAGGGTCTATGTCCCCCAGGGTACTGCTGGAACGTACCCTGGGTACGGTTCGGTGTACCGGTGTCACGGTCTGAGATTACCCCCAGTCTGAAATTACCCTAGCGCTACTGCGCATTCGCGCGCACGATGCGCACGCAGGTGCTGGGTGTTATAATCGCACGTAGCAAAAAAGATTAGCAGTTGCGTTAACTGAGAACTTCACCGCTACATCTAGCCATTTTGTCAAACATACGGACAAAAGCAGTTTATTATTGCTCCTCCGCCAACACGGAAGTCGACTATACGCACGGCGGACGTATAACCCCTTTGTGGGCCAGATTCATATATGGCTTATACGGCACGTGCAGGGTATACCGACTCAATATGCGCTAGGAATGGAGGTAAGGGAGGAAGAAAAAGGGAAGAATTAAGGCGAAGAAGCGGAGAAAGCTGCGGAGAAGGAGGAAAGTGGGGGAGAAGGAGAAAAGTTTGGGTGGAGAAGGATGAACGGTGAGAAGCTGGTGGAGAAGGAGGAAGGGAAAGGAGAACGGTGTGGAGGAGGAAGATGGGAGAAAGGGAGCGGGTGGCGAGGAGGGGGGAGAGAAGGGAGACGAGGTTGTGGAGGAGGGTGCAGAATGCTTGGGGGAGAAGGGATAGCGGAGAAGAGAGAAGGTGGTGGAGAAGGAGGCAGGGAGAAGCTGCGTGGAGAGGCTGGGAAGAGAGAAGACGGTGGAGAAGAGAGGGAAGGGAGAGAGAGCGCGGGGAGAAGGAAATGGTGCGAGGAGGAGGGGGAGAAGGGAGAAAGCTGTGGAGAAGAGGATGTGAGGGAAGAAGCTGGTCGTAGCTTCCCTTCCTTCTACCAGCTTCTCCCCTCTTTCTCCCCTCCTATTCTTACCAGCTTCTCCCTTTCCCTCCGTCTCTACCAGGCTTCTCCTCTTCTTCCCTCCCCTCCCCCCTACTCATCACCTTCTCCCCGACCTCCTTCTCCTCTCTCCCCCGTCCCTCTCCTTCCTGCCCCCTCTCCTCCGTCAGGGGGTCACTTTCCACCCTCTCCTGCCTCCTCCTCCTCACCATACTCACATTCTCCTGCCTCCTTCTTCCCCCCATCCTTACTCTGTCCTAGCTCCCTTCCTTCCCTAGCTCCATCACCTTCTTCCTCCGTTTCTCCTCCTCATACTCATTCCCTTTCTCCTTCTCACCTCCCTCCTCCCCTCGCTCTGCTCATCCCCCACGTGCCACAGTCACCTCGCTCTCTCTTCTCCTCACTCGCGCCTCCCTTCCCCCTACGTCCGCTGACTCACTCCTTCTCCCTTCGCCTTACTCCTTCTCTCCCTCCGCCAGTACCTTCTCCCTCCTCCTCCCCCCTACTATCCATCACCTTCTCTCCTCCTCCTCCTCCTGCCTCCTGCCTCGCCCCGCCTACCTACTCCATATCACTCTTCTCCCCTCCGTCCTCCTTACTGCCTCCCCACATCATACCCTTCGCCATCACCTTCTCCTCCTCCTCCCCTAGCTCATCACTTCTTCTCCTCTCCTCCTCTCTCCTCTCCTTCCTCCTCTGGCGCTCCTACCTCCTCCCTCTCCATCACCTTTCTCTATACCTCTCTCCCCCTCCCTCCTCATTACCTTTTCGCCTCCTCTCCTCCTTGCCTCCTGTCTCCATCCACCTTCTCCGTTGCTCCTTCCTCCGTCCCCCACTACCTCCAGGCTTCATCTATTTCCCCAACCTCCATTCTCTCCTCCTCTTTTCCTCCCTTCCTGCCTGCCTCGCTCTTCCTATATTCCAACACATATCTCTCCTCCTCCTCTCCATCTACTCCATCAACCTCTCTTCCTCTTCCTCCTCCTCCTCCCTCCTCCGATCATCCTTTCTCCCCTCCTCTCCCGCCTGATCCCCATCAGCCTTCTCTCCTCCTCCTCCCTCCATCACCGTTCCCTCTCTCCTCCTTCCTCCCTCCTCTGATCACCTCTCTCCTCGCTCCTCCTCCTTCCTCCTACTCCAACGCTTCCCCCCCCCCCTCTCCTCCCTCCGCCATCACCTTTCTCCCCTCATTTTTCGCCCCCCTACTCCATCACCTTCTCCCCTCCTCCTCCTCCCCTCCTACTCCATTCACCTTCTTCCTCTCTCGCCTCTCCCTCCTCCTCCTCGCTCGCCCTCCTTCCATCACCTTCTTCCTCTCCTCCTCCTCCCTCCATCATCACTTCTCTCCTCCTCTCCATCACCTTCCTCGCCCTCCTCGTCCTCCTCCTCCCTTCCCATCACCTCTCCTCCCTCCTCATCATCCTTCTCTCTCCTGCCTCCTCGCTTCCTCCATCACCTTTCCCCCTCCTCCTCATCTCCATCCGTCCATCACCTTCTCTCCTCCTCTCCCCTTCTCCATCACCTTCTCCCCTCCTCCTCCTCCTCTCTTAACCCTCCATATGGCAGCGGGTTAAGATATAATGGCTGCGAAGCTAATCCAGACCGTCTGAGATTACCCCAGTCGAACTTTACCCACCTATGGGCACACAGGATATAATTTGCAGGAGTAATTTCGACTGTGTTAATCTCAGACTCGTGACACCGGTCTGAGATTACCCCAGTCTTAATTTACCACCTATGGGCACACAGGATATAATTTTGCGAGGGGTTAATTCAGACTGCGGGTTAATCTCTGAACCGTTGACACCGTCTGAGATTACCCCAGTCTGAATTTTACCATCTATGGCAACAGGATATAATTTACACGGGGTATCTCAGACCGTGACACCGTCTGAGATTACCCCAGTCTGAATTACCACCTATGGGGCACACAGGAGTATTAATTTGCAGGGGTAATTTCAGGACGGGGTAATCTCAGGACCGTGAACCCTCAGTCTGACATTTACTCTCCTAGACTTGCCATACTAATCTCAGACTGTGGCGCAGCAGTTCTCATTATCAAGACGTATGCCGCATGCCGACACGCATGTGCACGAGACCGGTGCTAGGGTAATTTCAGGACTGGTAATCTCGACCGTGACACCCGGAATACCCTGGTAACTATCTAGGCTATAATGTGCTTAGGGTTAGAGTTACCGGATAGCATAGGACGGACTCCCTAGACTCGTGTAGTGGAGTAGCGCGAGTACGCTCCGGCCATATTAAGATAGTAGTATTTGATACCCAGGTACGTTCCGGCGTACCCTGGGGGACATAGACCCTATCAGCATCAGTGAGTGTGTGTAGTCGCAGCGCGGCCCACTGTGCGTGCATTTCTGCCGCCAGCGCTCGTGTGTGTGTTGGCGTGCGTGCGTGGTACATGTGTTGTGTGCGGGGCGGGGGAGAATGTGTGTGTGTGGGGGGGGAGATGTGTGTGTGGGGGGGGGTGGAGGATGTGCGTGTGTCGTTGCAAAGAATTGAAGAAAGTTAGGGTGCAAATACACTCTTTGCGTCAGTATGCGGCGCAGATGGGGGCGCCTAACCCAACCCTACCTCATTCTACCTTAACCTAAACAACTGTATTTAGCGTTAATGGTTAGGTTAGGGTTAGTTAGGTTAGGTTAGAATTAGGCTTAGGCTCCCCAAATACTGCTCCGCCATAGCTGACGTCATAAAGTGTATTTGCACCGAAGTAGACCCCGTAATTTGAAAAAGTAGCCCCGGAAAGGTGTAGGCCTAGCCCCCGAAATTTTTTAAGGAGTTAGAAAAAGAGCCACGGAAATAAAAATAATAATTTTCCCCCTGCTCATAACTTCTCGGTGTGTTACAGCCATAACATGTGTTGACTGCATGTGTTGTGTGTTCGAACATGGTATAACCTGCTGAACTTTGAACCTGTAGGCCTACCGTGTACTGTGTAGCGTGTATGGCAGGTTCCTATTTAGAAAGACTATATTGGCCTACCTAGTGGTAACAACTGGGAAGGATTGCTTGCCATGCTGCTGTATTTCGTATGGTTAACTGATATGAAACTCAAATACAAATTTTATAAAGGGCAAAGAACCGGCTAACACTTGAGCATCCAAACACAAGGCGAATCGATCGCAGCACCGTCTCTGCAAAGGTTTTATGTTTTATTTGCCAAGCCTATGCGGCTTATGTATGCGCTGCCGCTTGTACAGTTAAATGTGCTATAAATCGCACATAAATACAACGACTACGTGTATTATTCAAACAGAATGCGATTTAATTGTAGTTTAAAAGGCGTTTATATTTCCCTGCACCACTACTAGATGTCAGTACCTGCAAATCCCTACTTCCTAAAAACAAAGTACTTCCGGGCGATGTACGAACTGTATTGTTTGGTTCGTGTTTTAGTTTTTTAAAATCTACGTAAAGTTTTGGCGTTGAATATAGACAATGTCAGAAAAAGTCGATCCTTTGTTGATGGAGGTTAAAAGCAAGGTAAGAATAACGCTTATTTACCTTGTTAATTACTGTAAAATACACGTGGAGTTGACGCCCACCACACACGACAGGACCGAGAGGTAGGCCTACCTAGACTGTAGGCAGTGTAGACACACACACAAGATTTTTCAAGATTTCAAGATTTCAAGATTTTTATTTGTGCTAAACGAGGATAATCAAACAGTGGGAAAAAGTTATAACTTTGTTAATATAAAGCACGGGTATGCCGAGGTCCCAAGTTGGGAAAGTCCAAGAAAGGGAGCCAGCAATCCAAGAAAGGGAGCCAGCAATCCAAGAAAGGGAGCCAGCATTGGCCCAACAATCCAAGAAAGGGAGCCAGGTCCATCGCCGTTTTTTCGCATGGCGCAAAAACAGGAAAAAAGTTGTGGCGGGCTGCGACATGTGTTTGTCGCGGCACACCACCATTTTTTATAAAGTATACATGTATGTAAAATCATCGTTTTATCGCCTTTTATTGTTCGCTGGAATCAAAGTACATCAACAAGAACGGCAAATTTAGTAATTTACAAATTTACTGATGTAAGTTTTCATATGGCTGAAAAATGTTACAAACCGGGAGCTTCTGACCTCATTCCGGGGCACCGGGAGCAGCGTGTCATACCGGGAGTCTCCCGGTGAGACCGGGAGACTTGGGACGTCTGGGTATGGCGAAACTGAAAGGACCTTGGTGTCATCGATTCAGCCACAGGCACTTGAAGCGTTTCAACTGTAAACACGCCGCCGCCATTGCGCGCACACTGACACATAAATATATAGCAGGTGAGAAAGCACGATCCCAAAAATTCGCTCGACGCTCGCTGTATTTCTTACGATTTCAACACAAATACACATCAAACAGCTTCCATCTTTGTAGCTCCAAGAAACGGTATTGCTAGGGTTAGAATACCGTTTCAGATTCTTGCCCACAATTCCTTGTAGTTGGCTCGGTATCCAACCATCGACACAGCTAGCGTCACATGTAATAGCTCAAACGAATCTATAAACCTCTGGCTTGCTCGCGGTAACTGGGCGCTACTGGGCGCTACTTATTTATTGAGTTATGCCGTTTTTCTGAGATGAATTGGATCAAAACAACCAGACAGCCGCCATGTCTGCCATATTCAGTGCAACTAAAATCGGCAATGGACCTGATTTTCACAGTGCGTAGGCCAAATACAACGCAAGTACATATCTTCGCAATGATAATTATTAAGTTGTTGTAGATTGACGATTCCTGGTTTTCAATGTTTTAATATTTATATATATACGAGTTTATGATGCTTCTTTATGCTCGCGCCAACGCAAGTAGCAACGCTATGGTATGTTATGTCGTTTCGGGTTTTCCGCGTGCCGTTCGAAAATCATGCGCATTGCAAACATGGCGGTTGGCGGTTAGTTGAAATTTCGGTTTGGCTCTTGAAATTTACACTGTGCACAGCAAACTGAGGTATTAGTTTTAATAACAACGCTGGAATACTATAAGGTGAAGGTTATATTTGATACAAAACAAGGCAGAAATGCTTAGATGATCATTTGATTTGAGATATACGTAATTGTTCGGTAGTTTTTGTACAGCTACAAGATTTTTCAATGGATGGATGTCAGGCGGTGTATTGACGTTAGTCACACAGCCTGGTCGGGTTACCATCTTTGCTGCTAATTGAAGTACAGTGTTCACTTGTTGTAGAAATATTATGTCTCACTTCGAAACCGAGCTGTGTCACGCAAAATCACACAAAGACTGTAGAAATTCTCGCGTTCGCAGCACACCGCCATCCGCCATGTACTTAAGCTTGTTACATCACGCGCGCAGTGCTAGCGAACGCGAGAATTTCGACAATCTTTGTGTGATTTCGTGTGACACAGCTCGGTTTCGAAGTGAGACATAATATTTCTACAACAAGTGAACACTGTACTTCAATTAGCAGCAAAGATGGAAGCTGTTTGATGTATATTTATGTTGAAATCGTAAGAAATACAGCGAGCGTCGAGCGAATTTTTGGGATCGCGCTTTCTCACCTGCTATATATTTATGTGTCAGTGTGCGCGCAATGGCGGCGGCGTGTGTTTACAGTTGAAACGCTTCAAGTGCCTGTGGGGTGCAAATCCACTTTAGGCACCTTAGGTATCACGAAGTGATGCACAGATTTCTGTGTATCATCAACTGATGCACAGATTTCTGTGTATCATCAACTGATGCACAGACTTTCCATATATCAAGAAATGATGCAAAAACCCTAACCCTAACCCTAACCTTAACCCTGGCCAGTAACCCTAACCGGGTACCCTAACCCTAACCCTAACCTTAACACACTTCGTGATACCTAAGGTTATACTTTATGACTTAGGGTTAGGGTTTTTGCATCATTCCTTGATATACGGAAAGTCTGTGCATCAGTTGATGATACACAGAAATCTGTGCATCACTTCGTGATACCTAATACCCCCGTCACACCGGACGGCGACCATCCGCGACCATCCGCGACCGTACGGCGATCAGAAAATGTACAAGGTCGCCGACAAACGCGAACACAACGCGAGAAAAAGTCCCAACAAATTACAAACTTGAAAAAAACCGCGCTCCGTGCGATCATACCGCGTTCTCACGGCGCGCGTCCCGCCATGACCCTCCGCGCCCCTTTTTCCATGGGGGCGTGTTTATTGAGATCTATGGCTTTGGCCACGGCGACACTGGCGTTTCCGCGGCGCCTCTTCACGCGCTCATGGGGTTCTTACCGCGCGTGCTTCTACGTGTATCGCGACTGCCACGCGACCTCACGGAGCTTCTAAGCGTTCCTCTACGGCGAGCTATTTCTAAGCTGGTTTCAGATTTGTCGGCAAATTTCAACTGTATAGTTGTGCGTTTGTTGAGTATAAACCACCCGTGTTGTGAGTAGCCATGAAGTCGCCGTGCAATTACCATTTTCGCAGCGTCTTTGGCTGGCGCGTGTACCGCGTTAATGGAGATGTTATCGCGCTTGTACGTCGTTTATGGAATGTTTACGGCGCCTTGTACGCGTTTATTCGGCGATTGTTACGGCGCCTTGTCTCACACCTGGCGACCCACCGCGTTCTTACCCGCGTCCCAGCGTCAGATCGCGCGAACCTTGCGTTGTTTTGACAATGCTCAAACAAACGCCGTGACTCGGCGATCATTGGCGATCATTGGCGACCATGGCGACCACAGCGCGATGTCTGGCGTTTCCACCGCGCTTATACCGCGCTTATGGCGACCTTGGCGCGCTCTGTGCCCATTTTCCGTCGCCGTAGCAGCGCCGTAAGGACGCCACCCCGGTGTGACGGGGGTATAAGGTGCCTAAAGTGGATTTGCGCCCCATACATGTTGCTTTCCAAGACACGATGTTGAATGATATTTACAATACTTGACGTGATCTGACGATTACAGCATACACAATCTCTCACATACACGACGTTATACTACGTACAATACACGACGATATATTGCATTACAATTCATGACATGACAAGACATTATAATACAAAGCAATTACACATTAAGATTAACAACTTTATATACGTATGACATTATAAGACATAATGATATAAGATATTTACAAAACATGATGTGATCAGATGATTACAACGCATACCAACCATTACAATACCCGACGTAATACTACCTACAATACATGACGATATATTACATTACAATACATGTCATGATATGACATTAAACTATATAACATTACAAGACAGGATGATATATGATATTTATAATACATAACGTGATATGACATTACGACACATTGAAAAAACATACATTAGATTACATTACAAAACATTACTTTACAATACAATATGATAGTGTATACATAATACAGTGAGATTCATCGATTTCGAATTGTTTAAACATTAATATTAACATTCATCTTACACTGGATGAGCAACTACACAGCAGCACTACCAAACAGCTAATTCAAAAATTCCTACTAGAGAATTAATAGAGCAATTATCAGTGTTGTAGTCAAGACCGCACCCCCCGAGTCTGAGTCCGAGTCCGCACCCCCCGAGTCCGAGTTCGAGTCCAAGTCCGCGCCACCCGAGTCCAAGTCCGAGTCCGAGTCCGCACCACCCGAGTCCGAGTCCGAGTCCGAGTCCATTTTTGATTTTTTTTAAAGGGAAAAAAATCGGGGAAAAAAGGGAAAAAATCTTAAAAAAGGGAAAAAATCGCAACAGTGCATCGTAGACATTCGAAAGTGTATAGTCAGCCGAAAACAGAGACACGAGTTATACGAAACATGTCAAAGTAACGGATCCATTTGTGTTTTACGAGAATGACACGGCTTGTTGAACCAAATGAGAGAGTGCTAGTACCTTCGAAGTGATAGAAGAAGAGAAAGAAGTCGTAGAAAAAGCGCAAAGGGACGAAGTGACAGCAGATTCAAACCGAAGGGACAAGAATCTTAATCGAGCCATTGAAAACGTTACAAGATTAGGCCGTGTATCAAGAAAACCTAGGAGTTTTAGTTTAAAATTTTTGTAAACTGCGTGTTACAATATGTACAGTTGTGTACTATGTATGTAGTGGCCTCGAGCCGGCCTCGACCCGAGTCCTCGAGTCCGGAGGGCTCGAGTTTGAGTCCAAGTCCGAGTCATTGCACTCCGAGGCAAGACCGAGACCGAGACCAAGGAAAACGGTCTCGAGGCCAAGACCAGCCTCGAGACCTACAACACTGGCAATTATATGCTATAATTAAGTTCCTTAAATCTTATGTATGAAACACCGGATAGGCTATATATATATACAATGATGTACAAAATAAATATAATGTAGATCTATAAAATTTGATAATTACATGCATACTTTACTTAATTATACAATATTTTCTATTTAATACAATAGTTTCTACATATATATTTATTAATGAGAAACTTTTAAGATTAGATTTAAAGGAATTCAGATTGTATACTTTTATTGATTGAGGTATATAATTCCAGCACTTTACTCCCTTGAATTTTAGTGAGTTTTGTCATAA